GAGAGGCCTGACCATCCCTTGCTCATTACCCTTCCTTAACTCAATTGGCCTTCTCTCAATCTGTGCCCTTCAACTAGCACATCAGTAGATCTGAAACTTTTGGAGAGTGTGGGAAGGAATGATCTGGTGGGTGAAGCAATCAACAGTCACAAAATGCTCATTTTACATATATTTACTGAGTTTACTTACCACTGAAGGAAAGCAAGGTCATATAAGAAATAATCTCAGTTTTAAAATACTATCTAATAGGGGAGCGGTAACCTGTATAATATAACTCTATTACAGGAGGAAAGTGATAAATACCCCCAAATTGAATTAATATGTTATTTCCCTGTGACACACGACAAACCCAGACATAGGACGTGAAGGGCGACAGATGATGTGCTGCTTTTTCTGAGTCAGTACATTCTAGTGCAGGACTAATATGCACACAGCACTTACTCTGTGTCACGTGCTCTGAGTACGTCATAAAAAAATATGCTCTTCACCTCAGACCCATTAGGGGGTGTGTGTGCATTCTGTGCCATTGAGTCGGCTCAACTCCTGGTGACCCTATGAATGAGTGAGGTCCACAATGTTCCATCCTCAAAAGCCCTGCTCAGCTCCTGTAGCATCCATTAGAATGGTTATCATAAAAAAAAATCCCAAAAATAACAAATGTTGGCAAGGATAAGGAGAAATTGAAACCCATGCACTGTTGCAGGGAATATAAATGCTACAGCCTCTGTGTAAAACAATATAACTATTCCCAAAAACACTTAAAATAGAATTACCATATGGCCCAGCAATACCCTTCCTGGGTATATACCCAAGAGAATTGAAAACAGGGTCTCAAAGAAACATTTGTACATCATGTTCATAGCAATTACTTGCAATAGCAAAAATGTAGAAGCAATACTATGTCTATTGACAGATGCTATCTGTCACTGTGAATAAGCTAAATGTGGTATATGCATACAATGGGATGTTATTCAGCCTTAAAAAGGAAAGGAATTCTGATGCATGCTACAACATGGATGACATTGTGCTAAGTAAAATAAGCCAGTCACAAAAAGATAAATACTGTCTGGTTGCACTCATATGAGATGCTCAGAGTAGTCAAAATCATAGGGACAGAAATAGAAACCTTGTTGCCAGCTTTGAGGAGAGGGAGGAAATGGGGGTTATTGTCTAATGGGTACAGAGTTCCAGTTTTACAAGATGAAGAGTTATGGAGCTGGGTAGTACTTGCTGATGGTTGCGCAATGTCATGAATGTATTTTTTATTTGTATATTTAATGTATTTGTATATTTAATATCACTGAACTGTACACTTAAAATGCATATGGTGGTACATTTCATCTTATATGTATTTTACTACAATAAAAAATCTTTTTTAAAATAAGCTATTGAAACCAAGATCTAATGCTAATACCTAACCTGATTTCAGTTTCAGCCTCTCCCAGGAACGTCATCTTAAGTGGTTAATCTGGAATGTTCTCATCTGCATCAGTGAGGTAATCTGCCTAATAGATCCCATTGTCCCCCCAAATGAGGTGACCTCTCCAGAAACAATCCTTTTTTAAGTTTTTTACTTCCTTGTCTCACCTTTAAACACCTTTCCTTTTCTGTAGCTCCTTGAAGCTCCTTTCTACTTGCTCAATGGAATGCTGCCCAATTCATAAATTGGTCAATAAAGCCAATTACATTTTAACATTTAAAAATATATACTAATTATATGCCTAACCCATGGAAACACAATAGTGTGGTGAAGGCCTGGGGTGGGGCAGGAACTGGATGAAAGGGGTCAATGGGAGACATCTGTAATACTCTCAACAATAAAGATAAATTATATATATATATATACTAGAGGCCCAGTGCATGAAATTCATGCACTGGGGGTGGGGCGTCCCCTAGCCCACACTGCACCCTCTCCAATCCAGACATCACTCTCACAATCCTGGACCACTGGCTCCTAATGGCTCACCTGCCTGTCTACCTGGTCACCCCTAACTGCCCCCCCTGCTGGCCTGGGTGCCCCCAACTGCCCCCGTCGG